CCCCCAGCCCACGGCGCTGGGGCTGCAGTCCGGCTACCTGGGTGTGACGGCTCCAGCCGCGCCTTCCGTGATGGGATACTCGGAGTGCGCCGCGCCCGTCAGCCTGGGCACCGCGGCCGCCGCGCAGCCCGCCCCGGCACGGGGGGCCCTGCCCGCCGCCGAGCAGCCACCACCCCCGCCGCCCCCACAGACGCCCCCGCCGCCCGCCCCCAAGGCCCCGCCACCGCCAGACAAGGAGAAGCCGAGGAAGGGGCGCAAGGACAAGGTAGGTGGGTCGGGTGGGCCCTTGCCGGCGCCATTCCCCCTCTCCTCCCTCTCCAGCCGCGCTCACCGCGGCTGCGCTTGTGGCACAGGGCAAGAAGGGCAAGACGAAGATGCCGTCGCTGGTGAAGAAGTGGCAGAGTATCCAGCGAGAGCTGGATGAGGAGGAGAACTCCAGCTCCAGCGAGGAGGACCGGGAGACTACAGCCCAGCGGCGCATTGAGGAGTGGAAGCAGCAGCAGCTGATGAGGTAATGGACCCTGGGGGCCGGCACCTCGTGCCCTGTGAAGGGGGGGCGATCTGCAGCAGGGCCCTGCAGTGCTGACACCCCGCTCTGTCCCACAGTGGCATGGCAGAGAGGAATGCCAACTTCGAGGCGCTGCCCGAGGACTGGCGCGCGCGGCTGAAGCGGAGGAAAACTGCCTCGAGCACTTGAGGCACGTAGTGCCACACACCAAGCTCTTTTTTTTTTACAGATGTACAGTTCCCTTGACCATTGTCCAATAAATTGTGGAAGTTTGGGAAGGGCCAGCTGGTTGATCCTGCTGGGGCCGGGTGGTAGACTGGCATGGGGGGTAGAATGAGACCCTTGTCATCCAGGATGTTCAGGATGGGGGGATCAGGGGCACCCTCAGTGAATTCACAAATGACACGAACTTGGGTAGGATGTGGACCTGTTGGAGGGCAGGAAGCTCTGCAGAGGGATCTGGACAGGCTGGATCCATGGGCTGAGGCCAACAATGTGAGGGTCAACAAGGCCAAGTGCTGGGTCCTGCCCTTGGGTCACCACCACCCCCACAACACTCCAGGCTGGGGGCAGAGTGGTGGCTGTGTCCCAGCTCCTGGAGCTCTCACACTCTTGGAGCCTGCGGGATGCCTCTGGGGACGGGAGGGAGGGTGGGGGCACGAGGGGGCTTTGGTGGGGGGCCAGTCCTGGAGCCATTCAGCAGCTTTGTGCACATCCACACTTCCATGGCTGCTGCCGAGGTGGGCCCTGGCTGCGGTGGGTGTCCCCTCTTGCCCCCAGCCCTCTGGCTGCAGTGCTGCTCCCCTCAAGGCCAGAAGATGGGCAGGGAAGAGAGCCCCGTGTCCCTGGGGCACCCCTCTGGGCAGCATCTACACGTCTGCACCACAAGCAGCGCTTACTCCAGCCGGCAGTGGAGTCCTGGGCATGAGCCGAGCTGCGATTGAGAGCCTGCAGCCTCACACAGCACCCACCACCGCATCTGGGGGGCCTCTCCTTGTCCCTGCCTTGCCTTGTGCCGGAGCAGAGCCCCCGCTGGGACCCACCTGCCCCCTTGTGCCCCGGCCTGCTGACGCCCGTTCTAATTGCAACGTCCCCGCGGGGGCCCCTTGTTCCCCAGAGGCCGCTGGCACCTGGCCCCGGGCCCCCCTGGTGTCCCCTCGGCCCTGTCACCCTGGTGTCCCCTCAGCCCTGTCACCCTGGTGTCCCCGCGGGCCCCGTTGCCATGGCAATGCCGCCGTGGCGCCCCGGCCGTTCCCATGGCAACTCCGCTGCGTCCCCGCGGCGCCCCCTGGCGGCCGGATTCGCGTCACGGCGGCACCGGAAGTACCGGGGGAGGCGGAAGCGGAAGCGGCGGCGGCGGCGGCGGCCGTGTCCTTCTGTGCCGTGACGCCGGGGCGGCACCATGGCGGACGCGGCCTCGCAGGTGCTGCTGGGCTCGGGGCTCACCGTGCTCTCGCAGCCGCTCATGTACGTGAAGGTGCTGGTGCAGGTAAGGGCTGAATGGGCGGGGCGTGCGGGGCTCGGTACCGGCCGCGGTGGGATGCAGCCGCCTGTCCCCGCCGCAGGTGGGCTACGAGCCGCTGCCGCCCACCCTGGGGAGGAACATCTTCGGCCGCCAGGTGTACCAGCTGCCCGGCCTCTTCTCTTACGGTGAGTCCGCCCCGGTGGGGCTGCCCCGGTGGGGCCGCCCCGGTGCCGCCGTGGGGTCCTCCCGGGGCTGACGGTCCCCGGTGTCCCCAGCCAAGCACATCGTGAAGGTGGATGGAAGAGCGGGACTCTTCAAAGGCCTGGCCCCGCGGCTGTGCTCCAGCGCCATCGGGACCGTGGTGCACAGCAAAGTGCTGCAGGTACCGGCACGGGCGGGGGCAGCCGGGGGTGCTCTGCCGCCGGGGACGGGGACACCGGGACCCCCCGGCAGTGCTGACCCTGCCCTTTGCTCCACAGCACTACCAGGAGGCCGAGCAGGCTGAGGTGGGTGCAGAGGGGCTTCCCTCGGGGAATCTTCCTTCTCTCCTTTCTCCATCCCTGCCTTCTCCTTTCTTCCCCTCTCCATTTCTCTGTCCCTTCCCTCCATCCCTCCCTTTTTCCTCCATGATTTCCCTCCCCCCTTCCCACTCACCTTGGCCTCAGGGCAGACTCTGCCCTGCTCCCGGAATGCTCTGGAGGGAGGGCCGGGATCTGCCAACCCCCTCACGTGTCTGGATGGACCGCGGGTGGTTCCCCCCTGACCTTTCCTCCCTCCCAGCCTGGAGCCAGCAAGAAGGAGCCGGTGTCATCACTGGAGCAGGTGCTGAAAGAGGTGAGGAGCAGGAGCAGGGGGGTGGCTCTGGGGTATTCCAGCCCTGGCCCTTCCCGGTGACACCCCGTTTGTCCCCAGACCTCCCGGGAGATGGTCGCCCGCTCTGCTGCCACCCTCATCACCCACCCCTTCCACGGTAGGTGCCCCCTGACCCCGGGGGGCCGGGGAGGGAGGGCCAGGTGCCCCCTGTCCCCCCGGTGTCCCCGCTGTGTCCCCAATGTCCCCGTGTGCCCGCAGTGATCACCCTGCGCTGCATGGTGCAGTTCATCGGCCGCGAGACCAAGTACAGGTACGGCCTGGGGGGCTCCAGGGGGAGGTGGGGATCCCAGGATCCCCCCAGCTCATCCATCCTTTTCCTCCCCTTCCCAGTGGGACACTAAGCGCCTTCGCCACGATCTACCGGGAAGAGGGAATCCTGGGATTCTTTGCGTGAGTGCCGGGGAGGGAGGGGGGGCATGACACTGGTGTGAAGGTGTGGTGGCCCTTCTTGGGAGCATTCTGGTCCCTCCAGCAGCTCCTGTGTCCCCTATGGATCATCCATCCAAGTGTCCCCACCCCCGGGGATGGCTGTGCCCCCGTCACCCACCTGCTCTGGGAACAGCCCCACCCCACCATCCCAAAGTAGCTGTTCCCAGCTCTCTGCACAGCCACACCCGAACCCTCAGCTAACATTCCTGCTGCTTCTTCCCTTCCAGCGGCCTCATCCCGCGGCTCCTCGGGGACATCCTGTCTCTGTGGCTCTGCAACATGCTGGCCTACCTCATCAACACGTACGCGCTGGAGAATGGGGTATGGATTCCTGGATCCCGAGGGACAGGGGCTGGCGGGAGGAACCTCCGGGGATGGTCCAGGGGGCCACGACCCTCTTGTGGGGGGATTCAGGTGCCTCTGCTCCTTCCACAGGTCTCCACCATGGCTGAGATGAAGAGCTACTCACAGGCAGTCACTGGGGTGAGTACAGCACACGGGTGGGAATTGGATCCTTTCCCTAGGGAATGGTGTGCTCCCGAAATCCTGCGGCTGCCGCGGTGGTCATGGAGCCAGGCTGGGATCAGCTGGATCAGCTCACAGGCCAGGGGATGCTGCATGGAGGACATGTGTCACCCCATGGAGGTGGCAGGAGTGGGCTCCCTCCCTGGGGCACAATTCTCAAGGGATCTTTAGGGGCTGGTTCTCCCCATGCAGAGGGAAGAGGGAACATCCTGTTATCCCTGCTTTTCCTTGCAGTTCTTTGCCAGCATGCTGACCTACCCCTTCGTCCTGGTGTCCAACCTGATGGCCGTGAACAACTGCGGGTGAGTCCCCAATCCCGAGGACATCCATGTCCCTCTGCCTGGATCAGCTCCTGGAACCACCTTTCTGAAACTCCCAGATGGAAAAGGTGTTTCCAGCTCTCCACAGGGTTGATCCCTCTTTGATTGGGGCGGCAAAGCTTTTTGGGTTCAAGCTAGTGTGGAGCTGTGGAGGGGACTGATCCCACCTCCCCGGGTGGGAATGATTCCCTGTGGGAGTAATTCCCGGCGGGTCTCCCCTCCCTTCCCCAGGCTGGCTGGGGGTCTCCTTCCCTACGCACCCACCTACTCCTCCTGGCTGGATTGCTGGAGCCAGCTGCACAGGGAGGTAAGTGCTGGAGCTGGGATGCACCGGGATACACTGGAACGTGGCGAGGAGCCGGGTGGGAGCCCCACGGGGTTTTGGGGGGCCACACCAGATGTCATGTGGCCAATCCATGGTCATTTTCCCTTTCCAGGGCAACATGAGCCGAGGGAACAGCCTGTTCTTCCGCAAGGTGCCGGTGGGGAAGCGATACGTGTGGGACGAGCGGAGGTTCCGCTGATTCCAGAGGCGGGAGCGGGAGTGTGGAGCTGATGCCGGGCTCCGGAAGCAAAGAATCATGGAGAGTGATGATTTCTATACAGTTTTTTAAAAATCATTTCCTGCTGAGAGCTGAAAGTGCATGTGTGAGAGTCTTTTTTCACAGGGGTTTCCCAGGAAGCAGGGCTGACAGGTCTTCAGCATTCCCTGATTTATCCAGGAGCCTTTTTCCCAGCCTCAGACACTGCTGAGGCTCTTTACACAGGGGAAATTCCCCCGTGAGGTGACAGCACCTGGAATTGTCACCCCCTTACAAATAACCACCTGTGCTGAGATGGGCTGTGCAGGTGTCACAGGGGGCCCCTGGTTTCCCCTTGCTCACTCCAGGTGTTCTCCAGGTAGGACATCCAGGGCAGAGTCCCGACACTCCCAGGCACAGAGGGACAGCGAGGGTGTGGTGGCACGTGGGGGCTGTGAAAAGGGGAGGAAACGTACAACACCTGGCGGGGTTGGAAAGGTTTGGAAGTGTACACCGGGAAGGGGTTGTTGGACACCTGGAGGGGTCACTGCAAAGCCCACGGAGGGGGGTGAGGTGAGGGTTGCACACCCTGGTGCGAGGGTTGCACACCCAGGGGTGCGTGTAAAGCTGGGAGGGGACTCGCACGCCTGGCCGGGGTTGTTGCACACCTGGAGGGGGCTGTTGCACGACCGGAGCAGGACTTGCACACCCAGCAGGGACCTTGCAAAGGCAGCGGCCGTCGCACACCCTGGCAGGGGCATCGCAGAGCCGGCGGAGGAGGTTGTTGCACACCGGGCGGGGCCGTCGCGCACCCGCGGGGCCGTTCCCCGTCCCGGGGCGGCCGGGGGCGGGCTCGGTCGGGGGAGGCGGAGCCGGTCCCTCCCTTCCCAATCCCCGTGCCGGCGCCATGGCGGGCCCGGGCGGTGCCGGTGCCGCCGGTGCCGCGGACGCCGGGGATGTGCTGAGCGGCGGCAGCG